GCTTCAGGAACAACGTTATTGAAATCATACAAGTATTATTACACTCAACTTTCTTATCACATACATTAAATTCACCTATGAAAACATTTCAACAGCCATCAAAATAAACGATTACAAGTATATTGCCCGAACATTTAATCAGATATTTAAGTACCAAAGCATCGGAGCACCACCAAAACCTCCAAATTATTAATAAGTTGGTAATAGACAGTTATATCTACATAATCGATAATTAGTTTCTAATCATCAGTGAGTTCTTGGAAAGATAACTTGATGAATTTTAAATGTAGATTAAAAGAATTAAAGAGAAACTAACAGGTAATACAGAAAATCGCAACATAATTCAAAAGGAACTAGGCTTTACTGATAATACTACAAATACTAATAGATAAGTACACAGGACATTGTATTACAACAAAAATAAGGTCTAAATGAGCAGAATCATTTGGATAGCAAAGTTCTTTCTGGAGACCAAACATCTTACATGCCTTTATTATGGGAATTAAAATAAGTAGAGTTGCTTGTACCAATGTAGGTCAATGTTGAAGTCAATAAACTTCGGCCTGTCTGCAAAGGTTGGAATGGACAGTCAGTTGCTGAAGATAGTTTTGACTTAACCCTACAAAACGTGATCTTTTCAAGCTAAGGATTTTCAGATATTTTCAGTGTAATAGTTGTCCCCGAAGGATTACTTACATCCAGCGGTGACACAATCACTTGTTGTGCTGAAGTACAACGAGTGTTCTAGTATGATAGATAATTTCATGAGTATCACGATCTTGAGACATAGATATATTCTGCTCAAGCTATCGTCTCTATACAGCTCAGTATAGTGCAGTAAGGTGGTCGATTTATGATGACACTAAGGAATGATGGATTATTGTGGAGTTTGGTCCCCAACGACCTGACGCGACTCCTACAGTGGGGTGTTAAGGATCGTGCGATTAGAAAGACTGGGAAACTATGGACTGTTTTAAAGTAGTTTTCCAGAGCATTTTTCAAAGCGGTAAGGAGGACTATCTTAACTCATGCATGAACATTCTGATGGGAGACCTAGACTCCAAGGTTGAAGCGAACAACGCCAGATGCGAAGACACCGTGAGACATCTGGGCTGATAAAATGGAACGAATATGATGAGAGACTCGCCAATCTATGTGCCGTCAGTAAAGTGGTTATGGGTGTCACCATTCTGCCCAAAGAAAATACACAAATTAAATTTGCAAAACGTTCGAAGTCAGCAAGAAGACCGTATGACCAGAGTGAACAAATAAGAAAGTATTCAATTCAAGCGCAATACATATAGGACAAAAGAGGTCTTTAGAGGAGTCTAATAAATGCACACTAAAAGCGAAAACTCAACAATTAGGTTAAAGGTCCTTCTAGTGTGAAACAAGAGCTGAAGGTAATAAGGGATGCTGTTGGCATATATGGAGCAAAATGGGTTTCACCGGATCACACTACACAGAACCAAATCAAACACTAGAAGGACCATGGAAGACGTAAGAACTAAGTGAGGAGCTGATATATCTACGGATCACCATCTCGTGATGCTCACTTGATTTTGAAACTGAAGAAACATTGGCCAACTGAGCAAACAACGTCACAAACGTTTCATACGGCCTCTCTTCGAGATACTAGCAAACTCAGCGAGTTCAAGATAGATCTCAGAGACACATCCCAGGTCTCACAAGATCTACTCTACTATGCAGAATAACTGGAAAGAGATCAAAGTAGCAATGACCTCAACACGTGGGTCGCAAGAAGCAACAGAATAAATAGTGGATCTCTGGGCAAGGTCTAAGAAAGGAGCAACAAGAAGGCAGCAATCAACAAGAGCCCAACAAGAATAGAGAAATACAAGACGCAGGCCGCATGAGATGGTGAAGAAATATAAAAGATCATCCAATAAATAAGCAGACTGCATTGGATCAGCGATGATAGATATAATTCAGCATTTTAATGTCAAAAACCCTACAATCTGTTACTCTCCACAAAGGATAGATGAGCTAACGATTATCTAATAAAGATTGATTCCGAAGAATAAAACCAAGTGGATTCCTCCCCAATTCATTATATCACTTGGACCAGTATTATTTCTTAATAACGCGTAAAGTTAAAACCTTTCAATGACTTCTTTGGTCATTGAAAACGCTGACAAAATGCAGTCTTCTGACTACCCTAAGCAACAATGCATGTTCGGGATGCGGTTTTTCCCCCGAAATTGGTTTGGTTTTCATCGGTGTCTGAACTAGTGATAGGCAGTGAGGTAGTCGAACGTGTAGACCGCCTCAAGTATCTAGGGAGTCTCATCAGTGCTGCTGGCCTGATGACTGACGGAATCTCAGCACGGATACAGAAGGCTCGATTGGCTTTTGCCAACCTGCGTTACCTATAGCGCAGGCGAGATCTCTGCTTGTTAACCGAAGGACGAGTGTACTGTTCAGCAGTTCGCTCCATCCTATTATACGGTTGCAAAACATGTCCGTTAAGAGTAGAGGACTTTCGTAGGTTACTAGTCTGCGATCATCGGTGTCTCCGAAGCATTGCTCGTGTATCCGGGTACAACCGTATAAGCAATGCTATGGTTAGTAAAGGAGTACTAGGCAGGGATAGCAAATCGATAGATGAAGTAGTGAAACTCCATCAGTTGATGTGGTTGGGACATGTGGTACGTGTGCGCAACCACCGACTGCCTCGACGAGCTATGTTTTGTAGTGTATAAGTAGGTTGGAATAAAGTTAGGGGCGGCCAGACCAAAACATGGCAGCAATCCATGAAGTCACTGACAATTGGACTGAGTCATGTTGGTAGATATAGGCTACCTGGTTGGGGTCCGCGGGACGAAAGAAACAGATGATTAGAAACCTTGAACGACATGGCTCAAAAGCGTTTGCATGGCGCAAGTGCATTCATTCGTTGTGTTCTCTCATATCCCAGTCTTCTGGACTCATCAATACCTCTACCTTTGTGCTTTTTGAATAATATCTTCGAAACCAACTTTTCCATTACTGCTAATACTCCTACTTTCTCGATCACTACGGGATTTGAACTTACAGTTGCGTCTCTGTGCTGATGTGGTATGGCAACCTGAACTGATGTACTCACGTACGAAGTTCTGCGTTGTATCCGTCTGTATTTCAATAGCCTAAAAACTTAATTATCGACACTTGGACTATGAACTTACCTTTATTTCATCAATCATACCCTAGTTAAACATCTTCAATTCTTATCAAATGTACATAGCACCACTATAGTGTTTAAAGAGAAATGTAGCCATATGGTCTTAAAAGATAAGTTATGGTTAACAGATAACTCCATGTCTTCGAATCAGGTTTAGTGTTAATAATCGAGAACTCCACCTAGAGCCGTCCCAAAGCCGGATAAATGAAAATGGTTGTTTAAGGGTTAGAAACCCTATAATGTAGAGAAAGAACATTGCGGAAGCGATACCGACTTGAAAAAATCATATCAACCGTTTGAACTACTTCTAGGGAGCTGAAGTGCCTTGATCATGAAAAACCTATAGCGACTTATGGTGAAAGCCAGAATTCTTGAAATATCACTAAGCGTCTACGCCTTTTGATAACAAGATCAACAAACAAAGGTAAATGGAATGTTTGCACTATGTGGGAGGTCAAGAGGAAGAGCAATTAGGTAGCAGCGGAATCTCATGGATCAACGACCATCAAAGCATCCTTTAAGCACTAGGAAAGAAAAGATTGCAATGGATGTCATCTAATGTTATGTTCCCAACACCGATAGCAGTAGGGACAACAAGGATCAGCTTTATTTGAGATACGACTAACATCGATCCTCAGTCCACGACACTCGATCGATGGGCAGAACACCTTGGGGATCAATCCAACCGGCCTTCAACTACGCTTCTGTTACCCACCGTTTTCATTTAACCAGAATAACAAGTTGATGTAAGTCCTTCTACTATTAATGACGTTAAAATGGCTACAGGAAATCTGAAGCGCGGAAGAGCAGCAAACCGTGATAGATTGACCCCTGAGATTTTATAGAACGGTGGTCCAGTTTTGTCAGTGATGTTGACGGAGCTTTTAGTTAGAATCTGGGAGCTGAACGTAGTCCCATCTGACTGGTCTCAATCGTTACCGATGGTCAGAAATTCTGAATGACGTGGCTCAAAACCGTTTTCAATGGCGCACGTGCATCCATTCTTTGTCTTCTCTCAAATTCTGAATTCATGACTGTTTTTCCTCTCTTAAGATTCAGTTCACTGGGGTATACTATAGGGATATGATATCTTCGATCCTTAATCTTTTAGTTTCACTTAAGCAGGAGATTCTGAAATAGGTGGATGGTTTTACGTCACTGAGTAATCTCATAGGTAAACAACGTGGGTCTGATACTGATGTGAATGCACCGATAGGCAAAGCAAGGGCAGCATTCCTTCACTGGAAGGACATCTGGAATTCAAAACAACTGCCAGCCAACAACAAAGCCATAAATCTCAACACAAACCCCAAGAGCTGAAACTTGCAGAACTACTACAATCAGCATCAGATAGTTACAGGTATTTATAGATAGTAGTCTACGCAAGACAGATACCATCATGCACAATCTATTGTGGCTGATAATTAACCAGCCTCGATCTCAGAAGGGAATTAAGAAACGACGCTTTAGTTGGATTGGACATCGTCAAACCTCAAATATTGAAAACGAAAATGGATTGGCAGAATCCCGGTATGCACAGATACTGATCATGATAACGAATAGGATTATACTAATTAGAAACTTAGAAACATTCTAAGACCTCATATGAAGTGATTCGAAATGGTAATGTGGGGTAGTTGTAGTTTGCCTACGTCCCGCCAAGATCTTAAGTGCGTCACGGCTCGTAACCTACTAGTCCTATTCATATTTTCAGTTCGTTTGATTCGTTGTTGAACTTTTAAGACTAAAAAAGTCAAATATATACCATTTTGTATGACGAACAATGCTACAAACTAACTGTTCGTATAAGCTAAATGTCAATAACTCAGACGACCCAATGATGGAAAAGTGAATAAAAAGGACAACCCGTACAAATAGCTTACACATCCTAGATATTACTGGTGGATGACTCTAATGATCTAATGATGGTGCCACACAAAGCACCTTTGACAATACGAGCTCTGATAAATGAAGTCTGCAACAGAACATATAGGCAGAAAGAAACTATCACAAAACAAGCATGGAAAATATTGGTCAACATTCGAAACCTACAGTTTAAATTATTAGAGCAAAGTGAGGGTTAGTAGAAGCATAATGTGTATTGTTTTATTGAAAATTACTGTACAAAATACTGGATTGCTTTCATTGGTTTTTAGATACCTTAGAACTGCTTATTCCAGCAGAAAGTCGGTCTAAAAAATCTGTAGTTGTGATTTGCGTTAAGATTCTCTCCTCTTCAAAACCCGATTTTGACCCCTGAATCTGTTTTCCTATGTTGCTTTGATGTTGCTTGACAGCATTGAATAGGGCGACTGTTCCTCTAGTGGCTTGACAGCGTAAGCGCTTTTCTCGTCCAAACTCGGACAAGTATTCTTGGGATGATACATCATGAGTAGCTTTGCCACTCGTATTACGCTGAATTCCTGCAAACGCGATCGGTGATACATATGCCTTTCAATTGTAACTGTTATTTATACATCAAACATACTTGTCTAAGCCAAATACGTCTCTTTTTTTTCTCAACAGTGATCAGAGAACCTTCATCCTCATCATCAATACCATCACGATGCTTTTTAGCCTTCAAGCGCTCTTGATCAGTTTTTGCCAAACATAGTATGGGATGGGAATCTCCTGGAATGTTTTCCTGAAGAAGCTGCAGCAGTACCTCACGAATAACCTTGAAACCCATCTTTACAACGCAGAATTTCAAACTGTTATCCTAAAGAATAGGAATATTACAAACTTGTATCTCTTTTAACGAACAAGATTTCCGGATTTATTTAACTTTATTGCGAATACGGTTTTGTAATTACTTACTATCGTATGTGCTGCAGGAAAGTTACAATCGCTGAAGACTCCATACGAGACAACAGGGCCTGAAAAGTTTAAACACAAATTAATGTTAGGACATCTAGTAATATTAGAAAAAGTGATCCCCTCACTTAACTCTAATAAGGGTATTGGTTTATCTTTATTTTGAAGGAGCTGGCAAAAGCTACTAATACTGGTTGTGAAAAGCGCAGTTTTAAGACTGTTGAAGTAAATAATAATCCAAAATAAACACGTTACAGGCAGTCATTGTACATATATCTTGTTTCACACTATCGACTACATCGCTAATTGAAGACACTCGATTAAATGTCCACGACTGATCATATTTCAACTCGCGGTGTTACGCGCGTGTTCTAACAACTAGCTTGATAATTTTACACTACGATGCTTTTGCCTAAGATCTCAGTACACCATGCTAGTTAATAAACCACGACCTTTTGTTAGCCATCATAAGAGCAGTTCGAGAGTTCTTCAAGAGACAGTACTGTCAAATTGTGCTGTACGCGGATTTTTGTCAAACTTTGACCAAAACGCAAATTATTTTCCATTTACATTCGTATGCTACCCTAAACAGATATTTAGTATCTATGGTATTCAAACTGACTATTTGTCGTAAGTTATACTCGGAATAATTTACTCAGATGCAACCTTGTGAGGACGCTTAACATATAACCTTCGGCTAGAGGTGCATCCAGCAAAAGTGATGTGGACTACATTAGGAATTCTAGGCTCCCTTCAGGTACGACTGTGTAACCAATGAAGCTCATTTACGTTGCACAGTCACTACCATTTCAGTTAAATACCGACAAGATCAAATCGCCACAAATACTAACATATCTAGATTGAAATTTTAAAAGATACGCAGTTCATTGACACAGCTTGAAATTTTCTACATGTAATAGTAAATAATCATTAAGAGACTGGAACGTGTAATACATCAGTTGGCGCGAACGAAGTCGGTTCCGTTGCGACTGAGGACTGGTGGTAGAGAATTGTATCAAGTTATACCCAGACCACTATATAACAATAATTGATGAGGTAAGTGCATACTAATCTTTTGATGACATTCTGCAGATTTCAATTAAATGGGCTTCCGGGGAAGAAAACTGTAAGTTTCCATGAATTTTAGGGCCATTTTATAAAGCCTAAGACAGAGCTATATGTTCCACATGTGTTTCGGTTAGTGTACCACAATGGTTCAGAAAGAGAGAAAGGGGCGGGTAACAGAACAGAAAATAATCGTAATCGGACTTCTGTCATGACCAAACAGATGCATTTGTGAGTAAAACACTAAGGTATGTTTACTTCTACCATTATTTTTCTCTATCAGATCAGTTGTTGCACAAATGACTTAAAGTAGGTTGGCGAAGTCACTCGCAGGATAACGAATGAGCAACTGATTTTATGAATAGAGGAGCTTCAAAAGAACCGAACTTTTAAAAATTATGTAGATCTACAGAATTTGGTAAGTAAGGAACAGCGATTTGATGCACTAACGATATTTCATTCATTATTTTTCCTGCCAACGTTACTCGAGAATTTACTGATGAACTCCTTTTCAGCGTAATTACAAGGGTCGGCTTGTGGTAGGACTTTTGGCAGGAATTCGAACCAGTCCATGGTTATAAACATGGGTCAAGTTTGGAGTTGACATGAAAATGGACTCCAATATCGTTAATTAGTTTCATCCTTCCAGACCGCCTAGAGAAAGTTCGATCAACGTTTTCTCTACAAAAGCATAATTACTGGTATTACACACAACCTTCCCTCATTCTGTGATGCTAGGCTCTCATACGTTTGTCGTGTGTTGTGGAAGTGCTTTAGTCTAAGATATATTTTGCACGGCGTGCTGGAAAACATAGTCTTTACCACTTCTGTGTTACAAGCGAACTGTACTGGCGCGAAAATTTGAATACGCTTTTGGTCAAATACCATTTACGTGAGAAAATCTATTTTGAAGGGGTATGTTCCGTCCATAAAGAAAATTGTAGTGAGCTGCTGCCCAGTACAAATTACGAAGACTGTTGCATTCTATGACAGGCTGAATCATAAATTGCGAAAGTCTTCTTAAAAAAGTTTTTCTATTATTTTGAATCGTCTACCAGTTGGAATACGAGAAGCAGACACCGTGGGTTACTTTATTCATGAATCATGTAGATTTTTAGATAACCACAAACCGGGGTATTTCATTTCTAGCACTTCTGAAGGCGTACTTCGGCAACCTAATCAGTAAGTTAGCCTCATGAAACAGAAGACCACCAATCACCTGTTTATAACGAAATAATCGGGATTATTAATTAATAAAATAAGAAATGCAGGTTAGGAGAAAAAATATCTATTACATAGACGAACCAAGAAAATTAAGAAAGTACATATATTATACACTATGGCTCACCTATATACTTCTGTCCGCCTGCTTCATGTCCCTTATTTTTCTTGGTATAGACGGGTTAAAAAACAAGGCCTAAAATTGTCTTTGTTGCTTGATCTCAACATACTTAGGATTTTTGTCCATCAGCTTTAAATAGGTGGTCACAATACAGAGCTCTAAATGTGTAATCAGAGCATGACTTTAGGGCACGTTATACGTCTCTAAAACCGTTCCCGGTCTAATGAATTTATGGAAAATCAGGGTTCTCCATAGACGTTTAGGGATTTCCTCAGTGTATGTGTAAGCGTTTGAGGAAAATTCTAAGATCAGTAGAAATCTTCGGGCTTTTGGCTGTCTTTCCCCAAATTAGATCAAATTTTCCCAAAGTTGGGAAATTGGGTCACAATTCCAAAAGAACCTCCTTCCATAAAATAACCTGCTAATGACAACCATATAGAGAATAATGACAAGAAGTGTTAAATGAATGCAGTTATAATAATAATAATAATATATTTATTCTCAAACAACTAAGTTACAAGAGTCACGCCAGTTTACAGGCTAGATCAAATTGTCACAAATGCTTTCACATTTACTGTAAAACCATCGAAACTGTCAAGGATTCGGATCATGAGCTTGTATCATTCAACTTTTGTAACGCTGAATCCACAAAATGCACCATCTTTTTATGTTGTGCACAGGAGCCTCATCACCATTAGTTCTGCTACCATGTTACCTTAACAAGACTTTATGCTAGAGGCGTCAATAAAGTCGAGTAATTCAATTTCTTGGCAATTATGTTTCATCATCTGCAACTAATTGATCGTATGCAAATTGACTTGTCTCTTACTACTCGTATGATTGTTGAGAAAAAATATTTTCGTTATTGTTATCGGAATGACTGTAATCGATATTGTACCAACATTGCTGTACTGGTGAAGTGGACTTTTAATTGTAAAATAAAAGAATAGTTTCTCAGTTTTTTCGGTGATTCCAGTTCCGTTATTTGAGGATAATTAATTGTGGCATATGTCGTTCGCATTTTGGGCGTTCATACTCCAACAGTTGTCAACCACAGTAAACATAACTGTTAAGTATATGAATGGTCTCATTGTATGCACACCAACGTTTGCCTCTTCATATCCTTTTGTAATCAATTAGTGATTGTCGTTGGTAGAATAGTGTTGTTGGTCTCAAAATTAGTCATTCCATAAGCAAACTGTCTCAAACCAATAGCACTTACGCACCCTGACGGAATCCCTTAAAGTTATCAGATATCCCGTAATGAAATAATGTTCGAAGTCCACTAACTTGATGTAAGATTTTCCTTCATTCTTTCTAGGTCTTCTCACAATAACTGATACCAAAGAAAGTTTTTCGTCTGACTTGTTAAATGAAGAGTCTCTATGCCTTTGGTGCTACTCAGTATTTGATTTTATTATTTATGAACTCATATATAATATCAACTATTCTTCACTGTTCTTTTAAAGTTTTCATGAATACGGCGGTGGACTAATATCTGTTATCGTGCAAAGTGAAGACAACCTTGGCTAAAATCATTTGAGTAATGTGATGATCGGCAATAATAATATCTGGCAAAGCCAAACTTTAACCGATTAGTACTCTGATAGCCATGTGAAGGACATGTATTAAAGAGAAGTAGAAATCTTCGAACATATTCGAAAGTAATTTATCAGTAGTTGGAACCAGTCATAGAATAGTGTACAAGGGAATCATCAATTATTACAAATATGTCAATCGCCACAGCCCAAATAGGAATCCAGATTTCAGTATTCCACTGCTTGTTTAATTGTAGATATATCATGTGTCTGCCTAGCTATTTCTGGAATATAGAGTTTGTTTTCCTCAAAATTAGCTTGTCAATATTAAAATCAACAACAAAAATTGAAGCAGATCTATGTCGATCCCAGAATTGTGTTTCTCCCTCATATTGGTCGTGCGTAGTTTAACCATAGGTACCTAGAAAACTTGCATTCGAATATGAATTCTTTACTTTCATCAGTACTGACTGTAAATGTATTTCTACAGTGGCCGTCCCAATTGGTTCCAATAAAGGCACTCCTGTACGCTTTCCCCAGTTCCGGGTCCCAACCAATTCAAAAAGGACAAAATTCTAGGAGAAAACGTCTCTGTATTAGTTAAAAAATGGAAATACAAAGCATTACGGATATAGTGCTTCTTCCAGGGTAAAGTTACTCCGCAGAGTATCCGACACAATAACAATAAGTGACGCTTAGTCCAGCGGCCACTGCGTCCGTCCAAAAATGTGGCGGTAGCCATATTATATCAAATTTAAACAACATATGTACAGTTCAGAAGCAAACACAAAAACTTCAATATAAGTACAAAATATAGAAAGAATAACAATATACAATGATAAAATCTCAAACTGGAATCAAATAAAATACCAAAAATGTCAACAGAAAAAGTCCGTCATGTCATAGCAAAAATATGTAAACATGGACGGATTTTCCAAAACACAAAGCATTCAAAAAGGATTTTACACTGACGGCGCTTCGTCTGAAAAGTGTGCGGAATTTCATTATTCATCAGCAATTTTTCTTCGTCGCTCTCCATTCTTTCAGTGGTTGGAGCAGCAGTGAAATTAATAAAAAATTTTGAAGTTTTGAAAAATTATGCTACCTAACTA